AGTAAACAATCGGCGGGTGCCATATTTCAAGTTGAAAAAAAAAATTTCCAAGTCGAGCTGTTCCGTGTGTTTGAGAAAGAAGTGTCATGTATTACCCATCAATCTCTTCAGAAAAATCTGGAGAATCGACCTCTGGATTATGGACGTATAAATTTTTCCTTGTTTTCGAGATATTTTCGATGGAAAATGAACCCCGTGTTATTTTCCATAAGGGCTCCAGAAAGTGGGCACCAGTACCAGGCGAATCAGCCAATCAGAGACGACTCGTCTAAAAGTAGGGGGTGCCACGCGCTCCGCAATTCACGTCCGGACTCTTGTTTTCTCTTTGTTTTCATCTCAAGTCCTCGTCATCACTGCTCTCGGCGCCGCCGCGCCGCTCCAGGCCAAATTGCGTGTTTAGTTCTCTCTTCACTCGACTAACTAAAGGTGCTGTCTCTTGTATCACCGAAAGACAACAAAATTAGAAATTACTATACTCTCAGAGAATAAGAGATTTTGTCTCCTTTCCTTGTTTGAATTTTTTTTTCTGGGTCCGATTTTTTTATGCCTACATTTAAAAAAATTGCAAAATTTGCCACCCTGCCTAATTTGCCGTCACGGATCGCGGTTCATGTGACCACCCCCTAAATCCGGCCCTGGTGCATAGGGATTGCGTGGAGCATAGTTCCTTTTGTCGTAAATACGCCCATTAGTGGTAGGTTGCTGCAAAGGCATTAAATATATTGAGGATTCGAGGTGCGCGAATAGAACTTACCTTTTCGAAAAACACTATGATTTTATCGTTCCGTAAGCTTTGATAAACGACTTATTCGTGAACCTATCCGTAGACATCGTTTTTGATGTCGTGCCATACTCATATTTTCTCTCGCACCATGCGTCTTTTTTAACGTCCCATTCAAAATTTATAGGTTATATTTAATCTGTAAAATTATCGAAATCGCAATCTGAAAAGTGCTCCCTTGCGTAAATTACGACTTATTTTAAGTTCCTTGAGTCGATAATTCTTACTTTATTTTAATTTTATGCCTTGCAGAGATTTATTCTAATGAACTAGTTGGATCAATTGTTGTTAGGAAGCGTACGTTGAATACAACTTTAGAAGCATGGAAATTATAATTTTTTTTTAAAGTTGATCAAATGCGGACATTGAAATGTAAAAATGCAGGAAGGATAACTGCTGACTGAAGAAAACGAGAGAACTTGTGAAATTTTTTTCTTCAATTTTTTATTATATTTCTAGTCAACGAAGGTAACGGAAATCACTGATTTTATTTAGAATGATATCTACGAGTCTAAGAGACTATTAATGTTGAACATTTTTCGTGCGGATCCTCTTGTGAGTACCTCTTTAGCTTGAGAATATGAATATCCCTCAAACCTCCCTTCTTACACAATGCTTAAATCACAGATAACCTCACACGCTAAAAAATTAATTGATCCAGCATCACGAGGGGATGGGGGGGGGGGGGGGAGCAAAGCCTCCCAAATTACGAGTTGAAAAAGTATGAGTGCATTTTTGTATGTATTTATTTGTTAATCTAATTTTTTTTTACTTTTAATTTGTGTATACAGCGGAACAATATGCTCCCAAGTAGGGATGGCAGACATGAGGACCAGTCCCTCCCTTCTGTCAAAAATCTTACTGCGATCGATGGTGACTGGCAACCTGTAGCCGCTACAGCGTAAGTTTACGAAGCCTTTTTATCCATCGAAAGGTGGTAAAATGCCGAGTTAAATAAAACATGAAACCACTCCTCTCAATGTGGGTTGCTCCCATACCTACTCTTTGGAATGGAGAGATTGCTGGTATCTGAAATTTGGTAAATTTCTAAAAGGAAACTATAGAGTGAACTGAGCATGAGAATATCCTTGCTTTAACCTAAAATGAACAATTATTTGAGGAGGCGTGGATAAATGACGTAATATGCTAAAATATACACCTAAATCGGAAATGCCGCCTGACTACGTTGCAATGCGGTAGATTTTCTCACTTGTAAATCTATTTTTCTAGAATTTTCCTTATCAGATAAAAAAACGAAAAATACCTGGAGTTGAGGTCATTAAGACGGCTCAAGTATACGTAACGCACTTAGAGGGGAGGGGGGTTGAGCGAGCGTTACGGTGCGTTACAAGGGAGATATCTTTGATGCTCCGCAGCCAGTGACAAGATATACAATAATAACAGTTAAAACAGCGAGTAACAAGGCTAATTTTCAAAATAATACCGCCAAAGCGTTTCGGCTGAAAACTCGGCCTTACTCAGTTGGATAAAACCAGTAAAACATTGAAATATCTAAAAACCTAGTACTTTGGCTGTACCTTACAAAGCGAGAAAAATATTGTCATACAAAAATTTGCAAAAATGTGTAATGTTGTTATTGTTATGTGGGAGGAGGGGGGGTCAAGCGCAGTGTTGCGTGACAAAGCGTAGCCNNNCGACACTTTCAAGAAAACGAGCAAAAATTGAAAATCTTGCACTTTCAGCATGCATTTTTTGGGCGCGTGACCCAGCTCACGCAACGCGTCACGCGGCGTATCGCACGGACTGAAGTGCGAAACCACGTATCTCCATTGCGGTGTTTCAAAATTTCCGTTCTTATTTCATCTATTCCATGAGAAACAATACAAATTTACGACTTTAAATTTTGAACCAAATCTTCTGCCATCGAATACGAAAAATCATGGAGAATTAAGTTAAATGTCGACCAGCTTCTCAAAAAAAAAATAAAATTTCTGAGGAAGTATGCAACGTCGCAAATGGACAAAGGTCGTCTCTCATTTTGCCCAAACATATGTATGTATAAAATTGAAAGCATTATGACTTTCCTCACTCAAATTATATTCGTCTGTAACGATAAACAATTGGACGCGTTCGCTACGGCGCCTTGATACAACTATACAACCTCGACGGATGTCCGTATTGCGTTCAAAAAATTGAAGGCGTTTTGACTCCCTGCTCATACTACCTGTAGTTGATTCGATCGACAGACGCGTTGGTCGGCGGTGACGGGGACTTGATGCAACTATTTAAACTTAATGGATGTCCGTATCGCACGGACTGAAGTGCGAAACCATGTATCTCCATTGCGGTGTTTCAAAATTTCCGTTCTTATTTCATCTCTTCCATTAGAAACAATCCAAATTTACGACTTTAAATTTTGAACCAAATCTTCTGCTATCGAATACGAAAAATCATGGAGAATTTAAGTTTCATGTTGACCAGCTTCTCGAAAAAAAAATATAATTTTTAAGGAAGTCTGCAACGTCGCAAAGGAGAAACGTCGTCTCTCATTTTGCCCAAAAATATGTATGTATAAAATTGAAAGCATTATGACTTATTGAATCTCTTCCATGAGAAAGAATCCATATTTACGACTTTCAATTTTAAACCAAATCTTCTGCCATCGAATACGAAAAATCATGGAGAATTTGAGATTCATGTTGACCAGCTTCTCGAAAAAAAAAAAAAATTCTAAGGGAGTCTGCAACGTCGCAAATGGAGGAACGCCGTCTCTCATTTTACCCAAAAACATGTATGGATAAAATTGAAAGCATTATGACTTTCCTCTCTCAACTTATATTCGTCTGTAACGATAAACAATGGGACGCGTTCGCTACGGCGCCTTGATACAACTATACAACCTCGAAGGATGTCCGTATTGCGTTCAAAAAATTGAAGGCGTTTTTTACTCCCTGCTCATACTACCTGTAGTTGATTCGATCGACGGACGCGTTGGTCGGCGGTGACGGCGACTTGATGCAACTATTTAAACTTGATGGATGTCCGTATCGCGTCACGCGTTACGCGTGTCACACTTTTTTACGCACCGAATGTTTTCCAAGCTGTTTTGTCAGCGTTTTATCAATTTCTTGAACATGGGGAGGGGGGAGTCAGACCAGCGTTACGTCATTCAAGGGGAAAGCGTGGGGGGGGGGGGGCNAAAATTAGAATAAGTGCGTTACGTAGTAAGAACTTGAACGGTCCCTAAGCACATCCAGATGAAGCTATACAATTTGTTAGTGCAGATTCTCCATTACTTGATTATTGTACGCAGATTCAAGTTCTTCGTTTACTCAGCGTACTTGGACGTGCGAGTTAACAGACTCAGAGTGATCGCCGCAGCAAAAACCATTGCTCCGGACCGAGTTTCGTGTCGATTCTGGTCATCGTCTGGCAACGAATCGCGAATCTCTCCCGCCCGTGTTCAGGTATGTCTTTTTTATGGTCAACTTCTAAAAAAATAAATAAATAAAAAGAAAAAAATTGCGTAGTATTTGCACCACCGCTGTTTTATTTTTTGATAGTTTGCTCTTGTTTAAGTAGAAAATGTTTCGAAAATTTATTATGATTTCTTCTGCTCGCCATGAAGAATATTTGGTGAGATTTTCAGGTAACAATGACAATTCGTACAGTTCATTTTTTTAACGCAGGGGATCTGTCTGTGGATCTGGGGTTTGACGCTCCCCCGTACCCGAGTTAGCCGGCAAATTGCTAGAGATAGTCGGCTACCCTTCGACCCCGTAGACTGCCACCTCGGTGACTTTCTCGGGCTTCCTCCTCCCGCCTTTTGGCGGGATAGGCATCCCCTGATGTTGCCGCTCCACTGTGCCTGCGTCCTCGGTCGTTAGCCCACATCCTGTCGCGGCGGCAACGCGGCGGCAGATCAAGCGGGATCGGTGACGTGTCTGGTTTCGTGATTCCCGCGCCCCCCAGGATCCCGGAATGCGGACCTTGAGTCCGCGCATCCGGCCCTGGTGGTTGGCGGGGGCTGAAAGCGGGCCGGACCGGAGGAGCAAGTCAAAGTTGACNTTAACCCAAGTATAGCACAGTGCAACCAATAAATATTAAAATCATTTTGGAAGAGGAAGGTGCGCAGTTTCCAATTCAAAAAAAGTGCAACTTATTTCAATTTTCAATTTATTTCAATTAATTTCAATGAAGGGAACCCCTTCAGTCAGTGTATAGGCCACATACACTACACTCAGATACAGTCGCAGCAACTTCGCCATGTACTTTACGCCCCGTGACAGCTAAGCGGCTCAACCTTCAGGGTGCTTCGCGCACCGCTCGTATTGGTTCATCTAAAACATCTAAATGGAGTGGGCTCATCTAGACACTATATTCTATCGAAATAACCGAAAGCAATTTTCTAAACCATAAAAGGTGATGGAATATAGCAAATTAATAATACAGGGTTATTCAAAAGTTACGCACCACTGGCCATAACTTTAGTTCTAATAAATTATGATATCGATTTGCGGTTTGTGGCGTCCTTCCTCATATCGAGGGGGAAACTTTTTGAGGTACTTTTCAGTTCTTCCCCCCCCCCCCCCCAGGGGGAGGGGGGCGGGGGGCAACTCAAAAATTTCAAATGGCAACCTCCATCATGTGATACATCGTTCGAAAGAGCATAAAAAAAGAAAATTTTTGGCGCAAACCGGAAGTCAATCTGACTCCCCTGTCAAAAGTTAGGGGGGTCCAAAGGTTATTTAGGGGGTCCGTACCTTCATTTTTTAGAGTAGCTTCGGCGGCTCTTGGACATACCGTTTCTCTTTTCAAAGAGTCCTCGAATACTCCAAGTCTGATACCGAAGTCTTCATATTGCCCCCGGGCCACCACAGCCCCCCCGTAGGGGAGGGGGGATGGGCCTGTTACAATGAAACATTGCATTAAAATGCGAAAAGTCACGGAAGAGCTTTAAACTTAGCATCAAATCCGACTGGAACTTCTTGCCAATGTTAACGCAAACGCAGCCTGCGACTTTAAAGTGAGTTTTCAAAACTCTTAGCCCCCTGCCCCCCTCATTTTTGGTTGCAGAGCGGGTAAAAACCGGGAAATTCACTAAAAATAATGCCTGAAACTAATGTCCAACTTGAGGAGGACCCTTGAAACGTTGCGATCAGTCGGAGCATAGAAATACAAGGACTGCCACCCCCTTAAAGTACGGAAACATCCAAAACACCCCCGATGCCCCCCCTCATTTTTCGTTGCGGAGCGGGTAAAAACCGGGAAAATCGCCAGAAATGATGCCCGAAACCACTGTAGAACTTGACGAGAACCCTTGAAACGTTGCGCTCAGTTGGAGAACTGCAACACAGGAACTGCCGCCCACTTTAAGGACGGAAACATCCATAAAACCCCCGCTGCCCCCCTCTTTTTTCGTTGCAGAGCTGGTAAGAACCGGGGCATCATTTCCGGCGATTTTCCCGGTTTTTACCCGCTCCGCAACGAAAAATGGGGGGGGGGGGCAGCGGGGATGTTTTGGATGTTTCCGTACTTTAAGGGGGTGGCAGTCCTTGTATTTCAATGCTCCACTGATCGCAACGTTTCAAGGGTCCTCCTCAAGTTGGACATTAGTTTCGGGCATTATTTGTAGTGAATTTCCCGGTTTTTACCCGCTCTGCAACCACAAATGAGGGGAGGCAGGAGGCTAAGAGTTTTGAAAACTCACTTTAAAGTCGCGCAGGCTGCGTTTGCGTTAACATTGGCAAGAAGTTCCAGTCGGATTTGATGCTAAGTTTAAAGCTGTTCCGTGAGTTTTCGCATTTTAATGCAATGTTTCATTGTAACAGGCCCATCCCCCCTCCCCTACGGGGGGGCTGTGGTGGCCCGGGGGCAATATGAAGACTTCGGTATCAGACTTGGAGTATTCGAGGACTCTTTGAAAAGAGAAACGGTATGTCCAAGAGCCGCCGAAGCTACTCTAAAAAATGAAGGTACGGACCCCCTAAATAACCTTTGGACCCCCCTAACTTTTGACAAGGGAGTCAGATTGACTTCCGGTTTGCGCCAAAAATTTTCTTTTTTTATGCTCTTTCGAACGATGTATCACATGATGGGGGTTGCCATTTGAAATTTTTGAGTTGCCCCCCGCCCCCCTCCCCCTGGGGAGGGGGGGGGAAGAACTGAAAAGTACCTCAAAAAGTTTCCCCCTCGATATGAGGAAGAACGCCACAAACCGCAAATCTATATCATAATTAGAACTAAAGTTATGGCCAGTGGTGCGTAACTTTTGAATAACCCTGTATATCCTCAGAGTAATAATTGAAGAAATCCTCTCTATTCTAATAAAATCATTTTTTACACACTCGAGAGACGGGGTGAGTAAGGGCGAGTAAGACGCTGGATGGGCAGGAGTAATGAAGGGGAGTTCAAAAGTCAGAGTTTTAATTGACTGGGTCTTTACTTTCAGAGGCATTTGTTTAGTCATGAGCAGCTATATGCGGCCCTGTCAAGGTCGACCTCCATGAAAGGAATCAAAATTCGGAGTAAGGAGAAAGTCATGAAGAATATTGTTGTTGGAAATTTTTCTTTGAAACATCTTTTTGTTACCTATTAAATTAAAATTATTGGCTCATTAACCGCCACGGGCGATTTCGACGATCTCACTGGCCGCGAAGCGGCCTTTGGGGCGCGCAGCGCTCCGCGGGTTATATAGCGGTCGGTGGGCAGAGCCCCCTAGTCAATAATAATGATTACTTTACGATAACAAAGAAAACACTTTTGAAGAGAGTGATTCGCGAAGCAAAAATATGCGCAGGATTATCGAGGGAGTCAATAATAATGATACATTACCATCATGAGAGAAAGAAACTTTAATAATGATTGTGTCACGACTCACAAGTGAAATAACCTCGGGAATGAAATGAGGAAGTGGAAAAAAGTAGAAATCAAAGAAGGGGGAAGAAATTTGGCTGAAGCACACACAAGAACGGGTCAACCGTGTCGTATGAACTGGCATGCACATGGAACTGGTAATGGTCGGCAAAAAGCGGAAAAATCAGGGAGGGAAATTGGGGGTGGAGAAATAGCTCTGCATGAGAAAGGGTAGCAGCGCGCAGCGGATTGATTAGGCGCAGAGTAAGGAGGGATGTTGATGTAGTGGAATGGGAGCGGACACGCCAAGCGCTATAGAGTTAGGCACCATTATGCGTTATGCGAAACTCATATGAGATTATAGAGTAAGATGCGGAGAATATTTTGTGAAAACTCCAGGAATGGTGTTGATTTTTTCGTCTTTAAAAAATTAAATACGAGCGGAGCAGATTATAATACCGCATTTGAGATACGTCGTTTGGAATTGAGTACCTGTATACCTACGGGAGAATATAAATTGCCATCTTAATCCTTTTACCACAGAAAAAGTGTGCCGCTTTCTGATTAATCGGCTGTCATGGAGCCCCAAAGTTGGCCAAATGTAAAAAAAAAAACCCAGCCCCTCCGCTCTTAGTTTGGCCAAGTGTAAACAGACAAGATGGCGACAAAGTTCTACAAAGTTCTGGACGTGATTTTGGATGTGAGAGAAATTTTTGTATTAGCAACTTCTGAATTGTGTTCGGATCAAACTTGCTTTGATGGATATTTTTGCCAAGAATTCACCTTTGAGTGTGATTATCATTCATCTCTTAGCCGATAATACGTGTTCCTCTGGGTCGGGTTTGTTTGTGGAGCTCCGCATGATAGCCTAAAACTGATGAACCAATCAGAGACGGTAATACTCCCCCAAGTACTCTAGTTTATGGTAAAGGGACTCTAGTTTGGGAGTCTCACCGTCGCGCGCAACCCTTTCTCTGCCATGTTAAGGAGGAACGTCCTATGAGCCTTCGTCCGATGCCAAATTTCCTTTGGTAAATTACGGATTTCAGGAAAACTTGTGAAAATTTTCCTCCCAATTTTTCAGAAAACTTCTTCGCAATGTGATCTAAATTATCAGAAATTTGTCTCGAAAATTAAAATTTGAAGAGGCGAAATTGGGCAACTCTCGGATTTTCATACGGCGTTTTTCCTTAGCACGGCAGTACTAAACACACAGTGCCTTTTAGTACGAACGCGTCTAGTTTTGAACTGGACCCAATTGAAAAACGGTTAATTTTCCTTAGTTTTTCAGGCCATCCGAGAGAATTGGAACCTGATGTACACTGCCACATTCGTTTTATGTTCGCTGCCGATTGACCTGACGTTCGAACTATCATCGGTATCAGTGATACATCAGCTCGACGCGCCCATCACCAATCATCTCCTCATTCGGAATCTCAACATGTCATTCTCTCCAACCTCTCATAACAAGAGGAGCTCCAACTTTACCTCTCTTGCCGTTTGCATTCAGCCGGTTCACAACCAGTTCAACGACGTGAGTAAATGCACTAAACGCCCCATCACCTGGATACGGTGTTGGTTATCCGAACACGGCCTCATTATTCCGGGTCAAATTCTGTGCCAAACAGAGTTCTTCGATTAGCGAGTAATTAATCGATTCATGGAATGACTTTCAATTCGATTGATACATCCATTTTTCAAATTTTTGATTAACAGTTTAATCGATTATTTATTACCGATTTATCGAACATTAAAAACTTGTCAGTACCGTGGTCTTTATAAAAATTAGCACGAAACCTCGGAAAAATGCTCAATAGAGCCGGAAAATGTTAATTTTTATGGGAAAACAGGAATTGCGGGGGAGGGGGATCGTAGAAATTTTCTATGTATTATTATCGAAAATGTTTAGCACACATGAATTTTGGATCTCAAACTCAGCGTTAATGTTGATTTTACACCTGGGAATCCTGGTAAGCATCCAAGGACATAGGTTGTTATTGTGAAAATCACCGTTTTAAAATATGCTAATTAATCTATTAGTTTTGATTAGAATCGATTACTGTACCTACTTACAAATCAACGAATCGAAAAATTCTAGTGCTGCAAACGGCCAGATTTACACATAGGCCGTCGAGACAGCGCCCCAGGATAGGGTGGCAAATGGGAGGGGGGGGGCAAAATATGAAGATGAAAATAAGAAATTGATTCATAGAAAATGAAGATGGGGCGCTGTCGGGAAGACCGTGTCGCTGGATGGGCAGCGCAGCAACGCGGCGATTAAATTTCACTGCGATGAGAAAGTCGGCGAATCTGCATCTAAAAATGTGTTGGGTACGTAATTTACAAACGGCATACAGTGGATCGAGTCAAAAGGTGAGGTCGGACACGATTCGGAAACTTTAAACGCTTATAACTCCCTTTCTACAAAACTTTGAGATTTTAAAAGTGGTGCCATTGGTTTCCTCGTGAAATTTTCTACAGGTAGCACCCCTAGAAATTAAAATGTGACGAAATAAACATCAAAATTTGCAGTTTCAGTCAAAAATGTCATGTCCGACCTCTCTGATTGACTCGATCCACTGTGTGGCATGCCCCCCTCCTTCCCTGGGGACATCGTGTCTTGGGGGCGGTATAAGACCATATAGAGATGAAAATTTCGTAAATCCGGCAATGCTCCTGATTACGAATAATTGCGCGCTCAATTTCCGTAGTAACCGATGCGAGCATAACGCCTATATTCATCAATGCCACCAATGCCAGTAATTTAAGAGAGGTTTGAGCTAGGATTTTCCTTCATTTCCGCGTAATACCACATGATATACCTACTCCGGAGTTGGAATAGTTGCGCAACATTGCAAGCATGCTATGCTATGCCTACAATCCTACATTCATGAACGTCAGTAATCTGACAATGATAATGAGACAAATGAAGAGTTAAGATTATCCTTCATTTTAGCGTGATACCACATCACATACTTATTCTGGAGTGTCGATTGCAATAAATTAATAATAACCTGTGCTACTTAGGAGAACGGAATTTTGTAGAATCTGAAGGATGGCGTAGTTACTTGTCTCCGTTGTTCACAAGACGAATATGAGAAATTTACCCTCGCTAATGTTTTCAAACCTTTGTGACTTTTTCGGTGTTGCTAACCTGACAACTGTGGCTACTTATTTGAGTAAATGATTTATATTCCATGTATAGTTTCTCGCTCCCCCTTTTTTATCTAGGTGAATAAACTGATGGAATTCATCGAGCTGAACATACTGCTGGGAATGTCTCATTTCTTCCTTTACAATGTATCAATAGGGCCCGAAGGAAGCTGCGCTATCCAGCAGTACGTTAAAGATGGTATCGTCACGATCCTTCCTTGGAAACTAGACATGACGTCAGACAAAGAGATCCGAATGGTGGGAATTTTTGCAGCGCTGAATGATTGCCTTTACCGCAGTATGCACCTTTACTCGCACACTGCTGTCATCGATCTGGATGAATTCATCATCCCGCAGGAACAGCTCACTTTGCCTCGGCTGATCAGGTAATTCATTTAACTTCCAATTAGTTTGGATATGATTTTATTGGAGTTTGCATCAGCATTCGGCGTCATGATTAAGGACAATTTTCGGAGGGATTTGATTTAAAAGAAAAAAAAACCTCACATTTTACTGTATAAAATTGCGACTGTCTTGGCACAAAACCCCGGAGAGTGTGCCTTATGCCGTCAAGTGAAACTGGTTTTTTCTAAAGTGCACGTCCCAAACACAAACTAGAGGCTTCAAAGAGACTCTTCGATGGAATTGTTGGCTGTTGCCCTTCAAAGATCGTCGGCCTGATGATTTCTGGAGATAAACGATGATGTATTTAAGACACACCATAGATCAAGTCTTTAGATTTTCAAGGAATTTTGTGTAGAAATATGGCTAAGAAATTGAAGAATCATCGCCAGTTTGAGAGCCCCGCAGTTTGTGCGAGGTGTGGGCACTTGGTACCTATTTCTGTCAATATCTTACACGGTACCTATCTCAAAAGACCGTATCCTTCCAGCTAAATTTGTTTTCTGATTTACCTATCATAAAAAAAAATGAAATTTTGCGGATGTTCCCAGTCCAAAAGAATTATACCCTTCAAGTTCTCAAAATTCTTGGGACGTGGCCTCATAAGGGAAGGGGCGCACCCCCATTTTTTCAAAGCCTCCCTCCTTTTGCGACACAAGTCGCAGGTCACTATCCTAATTTTTTTCAAAATGGCGGACGGTGAAAGTTCGGCAAACGTCAAATCCACCTACCTGCTATTTTGAAACAAAAAAAGATAGCGACCTGCGACTTCCACCAAAAGTTTTCTTCCTGTACCCTCTTTTCCAGCCTGGATCGTTTAATAGGGTTTCTTGTGAAAAAATAATTGGCCCCTCAGCCTTCTCCCCCTCTATGAATCCAACATTTTTTTCAATGAGGATTCCCCATCAAGCGATACCTACATCATTGGAAAGAACGTATAAAAGAGCAATTTCGGCGCTGCAAGTCGCAGGCCACTTTTTTTTTTAAAATGGCGGGTGCATCAACAAAATATATTCTCTGTCCTTACAATTCATTATTTTATTGTTCCCACTTTCTAGCCGGTTAGAGCAAAAGTTCGACACCCGCAAGACTGGCGGATACTCCTTCCGAAACACGTTCTTCTACCTCCAATGGCCGGACGACGCAAGACTCAACCACAAGTATTCCGTCATCACCGACAACTTTTTGACCCTCCGCAAGACTCGTCGAAAAGTGAAATTGAACCGACACAGAGAGCGCTCGAAATATATTTGTAAGCCAGAGTTGGTCAAAGAACTCGGCAATCATTTCATCTGGGAGTTCATGCCAGGTTACGGTATGTTAGAGGTGTCGCCCGACTTAGGTATGTCACATCACTATAGAGTCTGCGAATTCGGCGGGGATGACTGCGTGCAGGCTGAATCCATCGTCGATCGAACAGTGTATCGCTACGCGGGTTCGTTAATAGTGAATTTCAAGTCAAGATACACTAAATTTTCGGCTTTATGCACGTTACCGAGATTGTCGTTCGACTTGTGGCCGGCAGCGCACTCTAACGGAGCGTATTTTAATTTAAGCGAGGTGCATGAATTTAGTCAAAGAATTTTGGGTAATTTTACGCGGGGAAGCTGATGATGTAAATCGATACTGACTTCCTGAGTAGCACAGTGTGACACGATAATTGCAGTCCGGAATTCAAATGGTTGCGCGCTCGATTTCCGCATTGATCTATGTAAGCATCGTCATTGATCAACGTCAGTAATTTGAAACAGGTGAAAAGCTAGGATTTTCCTTCGATTCTACGTGATACCATTTCACACACCTACACCGGATTGCAATCCTTAGAGGGTATCGGCAACCATATGTCGCGACAAATGGTATGGGTTCCAAATCATCCGCACTACCTTTAAAGGTTCGGAATGGCGTCAAATTGGGAGAGCAGTAATTAGACGTAACTTAAGGGGAATAGATATAATGTTGATAGAATCGTTACGAGGGATTGCTTCGGGGCGCGTTTGGGAAGCTGCGCGAGATGTCAAGACCGAGGTTAAAAACCGAAGAGTGTTATGACTATGACAGAAGTAAAGTTACATGTTTGAGTCCGAAAAACGCTCCGCTCAAAAAAAGGAGCTATCACTCACTCCATCTTATGCTGGGCCATTAAAAAACCAATGAGGAAAGATCAACCGGACTGATCACGCCAACTATAGTGGGCGTAAAGCTCACTCGTGGCATGGCCGAAATTATAGATACACTGTTAAAAATTAATGATTTACTCTGAGTGAATAACCGGCGTGAAAAAAATCCAGCGGGATTATCGCGCCGCACTCTGAGTGAATGGATCAGAGCGTGCGAATATCACCAACGACGGACGAATCATAGTTGAGCTCCCTCAAGTAGCGTGAATTCAGGGCACTCTGATACGAGCGTCGAATGGCAACGTGGCAGCGCACTCGTCTAACACAGCCGCGACTCGGATTCAAGTCCATGCTGCGGCATCTCCGTTTTGCGTTTGCCTTGTAAGATTTTCACTCCCGCCAGAGCGCGAAATTCGCGCAGAATTTATTTCACGCCGGATCCGTGCACCCAGGGTAACCGGTGGCCAAAATAGCAACTGAGTAATGCCCAGAGACAAGAGACCCTCCACTAGTAACTTGGCCATGGTGGAAGCTTTTACTTTCGGGACTTCAGCATTCTACTGTTGACTTACCTACATGGTTGATGTTCAACAACGTGTTGGCAGTTTCGTTTCGCAAACAAGCCGAAAATGGCCGACGTTTGGGAAAGTTGTTTGGCTTATGACGTCATCCGAAGCTCATCATCGACCATGTAGGTAAGTCAACAGCCGAAAATAGGGTGATGACTGTTGCTCGCTCATAATTGTCCATAAGGAATTGTTGAAACCCCGAAAGTAAAAGCTTCCACCTGTCGCTAGGAGGCCAGTGGAGGGTCTCTTGTCTCTGGTAATGCCGGAATCACGCCGGAATCAGACGCTGAATGTGGGAGCTGAATGTAGCTTGAATGTGGAAGTCATCGGCCTGATGCCTGAACGCGCAAAATTCAGCAATATGATTCTCAACGACCATCGGATAATGTCGGATTTGTCTGAACTATTCGAATAGATTTGATACACATCTGGATGAAAATAACTCGAACTTGCGAAATTTCAGCTGTTGAGCGATGACTGTTGACTTCCATATTCATAGCTGTCAAATTCAGCGTGTGGCGTGAATTTCGCGCCGGGATTTTTAACAGTGTAGACCGTCGAAGCCGCGACATAAAATGTGCAAAGAGAAAAACGAGGATGAGACGCGGCTACGTCTCAATTCAATTCTTTTTCAATGAAAAAGTTGGAATATTTGCCTAAAAAATGTGTTGAGTTCGTAATTTACGAACGGTCATTGCCCCCTCCCCCGCGGCGAAAAGTTGTGGGGAGTGTGCAGCAAGATCTAAACAACCCAGAGGGGTACCCTGGTAAATATTACGTACCCTGGTAAAAATTGGCAGTAGAATGTGTGCTCCAAAATACTATAGACCTAAAGCCGGCTGTAAGATTTCCAATAGCTTCTGTGGCCGGCTGTACAATTTCTTATAGCCTTTTATAGCCGATGGCGATTAAGCAACACCCGCCCGGCAAGCCGGCAATGTTGACGTTTTGGCAATGTTTCATGGAAATGTTTCACGCAACATTTCACAGTAATATTTTTCAGCAATGTGTTGATAATGTATTTGCAACGTTGTCTTATAACATTTTCTGACAATGTTTTAAAAATAATTACAAGAAACATTACAAAAACCTTGCAACGCAACATACTTGAGTAATATTTCATGATAATGTTACGATNGGGCGGGCAGCCAGACGATAAAGTTTATGCTAAACGTTACTAAATACGGATACTAGGACTTTGTTATTTTTTGGACTACCGCTCTCTTTTTGTGCCGTAGTATCTTTTACGAGGAAAGCTCCGTGCTTTTGAAGGATGCTTGTCATTCTTAATATGTTGAAGCGCCTTCCATTTATTATGATACTGCGCAATATCTCTGGTGTGAAATAGTTGCTTCAGGCACCGTGGCACACTGGCGGCGGGCAGGCAGAGAGTGAAATGCGCATTGGCGCCTACAAACCTAACAGGGATACCTCACGCATTGTGCAATGCGTGAAGTATCCCTGTTAGGTTTGTAGGCACCAGTGCGTCGCCGCTCCGCTTTGTGTTAGGCTCTAATATTTAATCTCGCGGAGTCAGCGTTTTACAACTCATGATTTTGAAATGTTTGCGCACTCTGTATGGATTATTCTCATTTCAATCGATGAAAAAAATTATGTTTTAAAGGAAAATGTAATGCGTGTTTTGTAAAAATTAAGGTAGTTCCGTATCAAACTTTAGTGATTTCCAAAGCACATGAATTTCTACACAATTTCTTATAGCCTTTTATAGCCAATGTCGATAAAGTGTGAAGCCCGGCGATAGGAACTATAGCCCGACTGTGTACTTTTTTATAGCTTCGTATAGCCCGGCTATATGATTTGCTCCGCCCTCTACAGCCAGCTATATGATTTTTAATAGCCCTCTTTAGTCGGCTTTAAGAACTCCTATGGTATTTTGAAACGCAGCTCCTATCGCCAATTTTACCAGGGTAAATCGGGTCATGCTTCGGAGTTCGATTAGTCGCTTGCAAGCGTGGTCCCCGCATTCAAGAATAAGAGCATAATGACGAATTGACGAGTCACAACTTCAGTAATTTGAGACAGGTGAAAACCTAAGGTTTTCCTTCGTTTTTGCGTAATACCACAACATACCTATTCCAGACTCGTGACTCTAAATTTCTATTGTAGAGAAAGATCAGGAAAAAATGGGAGTGAGAAGGATAAAGAGACTTTCTGAAAAATAGGGTTGCGACACTCAAGATTGCGACACAGTTCAATGGTCCTTGAGATAAAATTGCAATTACATGCAATAAAATTGCAATTACATGCAATAAAATTGCAATTGTTTTCAACTATAAAACTGGAATATTTTTACACCATTTGGTCAATAAACTCCGATTTTAAACGTAAGCTGAGTTCCGTTAATGAGGAAGATTGGTCATTTGAAATGTGAGAGGAGCCCTTTCCACTAAAGGATAGGCAATGTAGGGAATAAACAAAAGGCTCCCATACAGGAGCAATAATTCTATTTTGCAATTGCAATTTATTGGAGCCACTGCTACTTGGGTACTTGGGTGGTAAAGAGGTTTGGACACAGTTAGGTTGCATTTTGCGAAAAGGAACCAAAAGCATTCAAACGTTGCTATAGGATTGTGATTGTGCAACTTACATTTGGACGTTTTTCTATCAAATTGAACTATGTGCATTAAGACATGAGCCCTGAGACCCATAAGAATTTATGCATACCAGGGCTCACGTCATAATGCACATAGTTCCGTTTGACAGAAATACGTCCATTTCTTGCAATGAAATTACTAGAACCTTGCAAAAAATTAAATTTATGAAGGTAATTTTTTGCACTGAATGTATATTATATTGGGAGTAAGGGTAAAGATAAAACTTGTAAAGATGATCAGATTAGGTAAAAAAAAGGTAAAAAAAAAGTTGCACAATGCTTAGCGACATTGGAATGCTTGTGGTTCCTTTTTACAAAATGCAATCCAGTTAAAATTTGTTAAAATGTTGGAAGCTATTGTCACTTTTATGAATTAAAATTTCTTCTTGGACAAGAAATAAATGAATTCAAGGCTTGTATACACTAAACAATATCGGATTTCGGCGTGACTGGGAATGAACTTTATCAGTGATATGTAACACTGGCTAACTTAACATAAGTTGGTTCAAAGGTGTTGAAAGTGCGTTGTGAGGACATTATAATTGGACGTATTTCTGTCAAACGGAACTAAGCGCCATATGGTGAGGAAGGTAGAGGGGGGGGGGGGGGCTTGG